AATAACTGACATTTTTCATCCATATCTACATCCAAACGTCGGCAGTGACAATAAGTATTTCATAAAATCAATCAATAATATCTAACGAGCGTTGTTCGTACATAGTTTATTTATTTTGTTCGTATAATTTGTGTGCCTTTTTAATATTGTATTTTGCAAAACTATATCGCACAAATATCAACATTTTACGTCCACAACTACAAATCCACATACCTTTAGTGAAGATGGCTTCCACTTCATTTTCAGAAAGTTTCCGTGCCCAAATCGTAAGAGAATTCACAGCAATTGCATATCTACGTGATTGAGTTGCTTTGGAATCTCCCAATCGCAGGAGACTATCAGAATCGTAGAATTTAAAGCCAGATCTCGCGGTTTTCATACGGCCATGAGAGCGAAACGCGAGATCATCCACTATTAGCGTGAGCCCAGCTGCATGATCCCAGTAGGCCAATGCATGAAGCCGGTTCGTTGGATCACCCATAGGACCTACACATGCTATCCAGGAATGCCTCCAGAAATGAATCCTCACACATACATGGTGGTGTCTAATGTATATGACAAAGCATCGCGATCCGGATCGACCAGATCGAAGTACCGAAGTAGCAACTGGAAACGGTGCAGAAGGGGACTTGAACCAAATCCATAATTGAAAGCTTAGACCTTCCTTGCATAGTTGAGGATCAGATATACAATGACTGCGAAAGTCGGCAATTGCACGAGCATGTGAGTGCTGTAGTACTTTCACTGCGCGTCTGCCGTGGATCAACGTGCCAGGGGTGCCATCTTTAGTTGTATTTAATGGCCAGAACAACTTCTTGTCAACTAGAAATACATAGTAATAGAAACTCCAATAAGATAGTTTAAAGCCATATGAACAGGTTCAGTCTGTGATTGATTGATTGATTGGTTGATTGATTGATTGATCACGACAAACAAGCACAATGAAATTATAGTATATATATATATATATATATATATATATATATATATATATATATATATATATATATATATATATATATATATATATATATATATATACCAGATTTTCTTATCATTCTCGCCCTTCCCCCTAACCGAATCCTAAACTGAACACTTAACATACATTTTAATCACCGCCTAATCTTATGACGTTATTTCGGGATAGTAATAAGGAAAGTGACCCCGTTTTCCCAAATCTCACCTTTCCTAATGCGATACACGTTATTGACCCAAATGCCGCCCTTTCCATCCACACAGTTGCTTGCCTCACCATATTTATTATACGTGATATGAGCCTGCGGTCCAGTGAAACAATATACTTCATTTTGTATAGAAAATACTTCATATCCTGCTGCAGAAGCGATCGCCTGACATTGAACTAAGCCATGATCCGATGATACAGAAAACATGTTGGGAATTGCTCGGGTCTCATTGTCTTTAAAGCAACCGATAAGTTCAGCTTCAACACCTAAAATGAACGGGATCAATTGAGAGGTTCAGATTTGACTTTCACTGCCGCTATCGCTATCATTAACCAATCAGATGAGTACTAAGCCTATGACGGCTAATGGTATAGAGGTAGTAAAGTCCGAAACTCTCTAATACATCCTCAAAAAATAAGCGCCGCATTGAACTGTCTCATCTTTATATGTCATAATATCTGCAGTATCAAGGAATAAATAAGGGATGACTCTTACTAAACCTTTACTCTACTAGCAGTGGTTTCTAGCTGAGCTGAGGAGAAACCACTGCGAGCAAACGAACGATCGTTTGATGTAGCCGCCGTCCAGATTCACGGTCGAATACATTAAAATAATGAGAAACTGGTAAAACCGCTTTGACAAGTTTTTGTTGTTGTGCGCATGAGTACAAGCTTGCCACTGCTGGTGAAGAATTCAAATGCACAATGGACCATTTGCATTATAGACTAAGTTTTGATCTAAACAAAGCTAGACAAAAATTTCATCACAACTTGAAAGAGCATCACAAAATTGGTAATATTCCAAAGTTTCGTTGTGAAATGTTGTAAAATGCGGATAATATAGCCTTGCGAAGTTTGCCGTTTTTCAGTCAGCATTTTGTATTACAAACGGGAAATTGACAGCCCCAAAGAGTATTGGGCTGTCAATTTCCCCCACGTAATGCAAAATGACTGAAAACCGGCTAACTTCGCAAGGCTATATTATCCGTATTTTAAAACATTTCGCAACGAAACTTTGGAATATTACTAATTTTGTGATGCTCTTTCAAGCTGTGATGAAATTTTTGTCTAAACTTGTTTAGATCGAAATTTAGTCTATAATGCAATTGGTCCATTTGTTGCGTGAGGCACTAATTTCAAAATATTTTAGTATATTGGCAACAACGATATTAAAACCGAGATATAAATTGTAAACTGCAGGTAGAATAAAAAATCGTTTTATTAAAACTGACAGACAACAAACAAAACACAACTGTGTCATCTTTGTTTACAGATAACAAACTACAGGAAATAAAGTCAACTCTATAGTGACGTCGGATTTGTCCCATCACGCGATCTAGACGATTATTCCTTTACTCGCAGTGGTTTCTCCTCAGCTCGGCTAGAAACAACTGCTAGCAGGGTAACTCAACCCCTAGGAAGAACGGTTCAGAACTGATCGAATGAGCTATCTAGTATGGATAAACTGAAATATTTTAATTCACTATTCACCAAATGGAACCAATACAGCATCGTAACCCTTTGTTCAACATTCGTACATGGCATTAGGTACTGTACTAGATATTACAAGCATGCAGCAACCCCTCGCCTTTATTTTCCAAACATTGATTTAACACGAAATATTCGTAATTGGCCAACACTGAACGTCGCAGCGTCATGTGCAGCCATGAGAACATGCTATTTTTAATCTTTATCTTTTTTATTATATGTACTAAAACGGCAAATAGTTAAAAGATTAGTGCTTTTAACTATTCAACAATGAATTTCCGAAATATATATAGTAGGTATACTGTATACTGTTAATTTGAATTTTGTGACATTCGATTTAATGTAAAATTTAAATCAAATTGGCATTTTAAATTTTTTCTGACATTAACCAGGGTAAATAAGAAAACTTAGAGCTTCATTCACCAGGAAATCTGTGCTAATCTTAGGAAAAATTTGAAGGAATAAAATTCACGAAAAAGGAGCAGCAGTCAAAGCAAACTTGCTCTGCATTTCTTGATTTGCCATTGCAAATCAATTCTTCTCATTTCTGCAAACACTATAATTGCTTCATGCCTCATTGACTCTGTGTGAAACAATTTTCCAAATATATGTCTTTGAAAATTGAAATCTTGCTAATCCCTCTCCTGGCAAACAGCCACATTTTTGAGATCAGTGAGGAAGTCCACCCATGAAACTTGGGTCATAACCATGCGTTACTGGTGAGCTTCAGACCATCCTAATATTTTTCCCAGGTGTAAATAGGTGAGCGGAATTAGTACCCTCGCCTTTGCTCGGGGATAATCCCGTAACGTATCAACAACCAGCATACCAAGAAGACCATAGGGAATAGATTCAGCAGGCCCAGCGTCGGAAATTCCTTTGCAGAACACTTGTTGTTTCATTTCTTTATCTTTCGGATAAATGTTATAAAATCCATCAAGAGTAGCAAAGAGATGATCTTTGTAATACTGACAAGAGGTTGCCTCAAATTCTGAAAACAATGCAAGGTTATTAATTTAAACTCAAATGTACAAGAAACTATTATGCGAAGAGCTATTTATAACAAATATAAGCATTTATAGGTCGAGACCCCCTCCCCCTCGTCTTTAGGAGCAATGTTGGAATTAATTGTTTCAAAACTGAGGAGAAACTGAGGGCGTAATTCCAAATCTGCGGCTTTCAGATCATCGTAAAACGTATCTCTAATGTAAATGCGATAGTATTTTGCAGACCACAAAATGGAACAATTTCTCGAGGGCCCATGGCTTTGGATGGCCGAACCATTAGAATACTTTCCACCAGGGCCGCCGAGAGGGGGAGGGGCAAGGGGGGGGGGCAAATTACCCCGGGCCCCGAGGTACTGGGGCCCCCTGGAATTTTTTTGTTGGGCCCCAGTCATTTTTGTGGGTTAAATATTTAGGGGGGGAGGTTGTTCTCCGAAAATATTTTTTCCGGAAACAATTTTGTAAGGTGTAACATGTATTAAATCCATCAACGACCGTGACCCCAATAACCCTAAACCCAAACCCTAGCACCATTCCTAAATCTAAGTCTGATTCTGAAGCTGCGCTGCAAAGTTATTGATACTGTGCCGTCACTGTGGAAGTCACCCAGGCAGAGAAGCAAACAGAACATTTACCTTTGGACGAGCCATACAGCTCTAGTTTAAGACAATTCTTTTTTTGTTTAATGGCCGAATAAGTAATTCTGAAAAATCTTCCTTCAACAGGCGCAGGTAGATAATGTTTTTTGAAGGATTTTCGGCCGATGAATCCCTAAAATACATACAGACAAAGATGATTAATTAATACGTACTTGAACCGGAGTCAGAGTTAACAACTTAACAGACATACAGAGTGTATCAAAAAAGTTAATACAAATCTGGCATGTTATCGCACGTTATACATATTACGTTTATGCATTTAATTTTTTCATGCCAATACACATACAGTGTATCGTCTAGCTGTCGAATGATACATTTCTTGAATCACTACGATCACAAATAGCCAGAATACGATCACTTCTGTGACGTCATATGAAACCCAAGAATAGTGCTAGTAATATGTGACTTGTTCAGTTCACAAGGGGGCGTGAAAAACGGAGCGTGCGAATTGAACAAATCACATATTATTAGCGCTGATGAAGATCCGGGCTTACGGATCCAAAGCTTTGCAGAAATATTTTTGGAGCAACTGTCCGAAAATTTTAAAAAGCATTTAAATTATAAAGGTGGAAACAAGCGATTTAAACCGACAACTTTAAATAAAATCGTATCTCATCAGTTTTGATGGCAATGATTCAATAAAGGTATCATTTGACAGCTAATAACTGATCGATACAGAAAACCTATAAACGCAGTATTTCACGCTCGATAACATATCAAAGTTGGATTACCTTTTTTATTATTAGCATGACAAAATTACTGGATGCTGATTGGTTACTACTTCATTAATTGTACTGCAGTCTCAAAACAAACAAAATGGCGGAAAGGTGTTTTGAACACAAATGTGAAATGAAATTGCCCTTGAGGAACTAGATGAAAATACGAACAAAAGCACCAAATTTTGCTTTAACAAAAGAACTAAATGAAAATACGAACAAAAGTACCAAATTTTGGTTGAAAGTCTGGCAGGACTGGGCTTTGGCGAGCGAATATGATCTTGACGGAGAAGTATCCAATTTTGTCATGTGCTAATAATAAACATGTACGGCTGCTCGTCCATTTTTGCAAAATTTCCAAACATCACTCGTACTATTAATCCCTATAATTGTACTCGCCATCGCATGATTACCTACACTTATACTTCTGCATAACAGGAAATAGAGACACCAAGATTAACTTGACTAACACGATTTACTATAGAGCCATGCAAACAGACAAAAAATTGTAGTTCCTACTTACAAATCTTTCTCCAAATATAGAAGAATAAGTATAAGCGCTTCCATCTTTGGAGTACGATACATAGAAGAGCTCCATGAAATCGCCGTCCTTCCCCTTTGTTCCAACAGCGCAAATTTTATGCAAGAAACGAAAATCAATCACCATATAAACTTCCGTCGAAGTTGGCCATGTTGGACACCATGCGCTATCGGGAATGTTTAACTTTGCAAAGAAAGCGTACATCTTATAGCTATCAAATTTATATTTAAACAAACTGTTCGGAAGGAAATTGAGGAGCGGAACATCCGCACAGCTTCCTGAAGAAAGAAAATAAATGCATGCAGTAAGCAGGGATTGCAATAGAGGAGGGCGGTTCTTTGTCGGTTGTACGACTATCTAGAGAATCAAAACAATTTTTTTCTCAAATTGAGGACGAGGGAAGTTTAAAGATTTCCGGTGTAGTACCCGAAAAATTTATTTTAAATAACCTTACCTTTAATTAAATTGACTAAGTCTTCATTCAAGTCAGTTTTATCAGGACATGTGCTAGTTAGGTCTGTAGTACGACACACTAATTGTCGGGGTTCCGGAGCAAAATCTGCAAAATATGGATTAGTGCAGCCGTTCACACTTGGGTTAACTTCAGGATTTTGACAATATTGATCCAGCCATGACTGTTTTTCGAAATCACCCAATATGGGATATCTGTAAACGAATGGTACTAATTTATTATCTCTGGTAAAGTAACATGAACTAATAGTTCTCCACACATGCCCGTCAATTCTCAAACCAGTATCCCTAAAACAACGCCAGGATGATTTAGTATTCCCTTTACTTGGGCTGTATCGAGCATGACATTTGTCAGAGCCGTAGCAGTCTTTGGAAGTATCTTTGGTTGTGCAGGATGGAACTTTATCTGTACACCAATCGTCCAGTTCACGTTGGCGTTGTGGTGTTGGTGAACCTACAAAGTGGAAAATCTATGTGAAAAAATCATTATTAAACTTTACAACTACAACTTCAATTTTGATTTTTCGTCAAACAACTCGTATCAATTGCAACCGTCTGTACTTAAGAAATAGAAAACGAGTCGCGTGCGTTTATGGTGTAACAATGCTCGCGGGTAATGTTGGAAGAATACGAGAGAAGCGTGTAAAACATGAGGCGTAGCGGAGTGTTTTACACGCTTCTCGAGTGTTCTCCCAACATTCCCCGAGTGCATTATCACACCGTAAACGCACAAGACGATTTTTTCTATATCTTTTATAATGTAATATAAGTAGAAGATATTACATCAGTAACAATTTTTGTTTTTAAGCATTTGTGCTGCCGGATTTGCCATGCTGCTCAGTTTTAATTTTTAAAATTATTGTATTTTGTACATTTCGCCAAAAATATATCTTATTCTAGCAGTTTTTATCAAAAGCATTGAATATACTTTTTAAGTCACTTATGTTCAGTTTTCGTTGCCTTTTTGGTATTCCTGTATCTTTTTCAAGTTTTTTCTCGACTATTTTGCACGCCTTTTTCTTTTTGAAACAAAAACAAATTCGAAGAATGCAAAGCCGGTTAATTCTTATGCTGTTTTTACACGTAGAGCTACAGATAATATTGCTTTGTTCCTTTGGTCTATTCCTTCCTGCTTTCTGATATATTTTGTATTTTAAATGCTCTATAGTTTTGTTTATATTTTTGACTAAAAAGCAGAGATGAAGCGGGGGAACACAGAAAAAGCAAGGCAGTGCCACGGAACACAGTGCACTATTGCAGGGCGCTATAAAACAAATCGCCTTGATTATTGCGTAACAATGCGCGCGCATTAGCCTATCAAATTGTCTGTTATATCCCACTTATATTATAATATAGATTATTCATTAGTTTCAGCAGATAAAACACAACATGTGGGTTGAATCACAAGACTTATACTAGTTTCCGTGGCAGTTGTAAACTGCCTTGTATAAAACATAATTTATAGTCCGCAATAAAAACAACATTTAGCGTATCTTTTAGAGTGTTTTACGTTACGAACCCCCTGTATTTACGTTTAGCATTGTCTTTTAAATTAAAATGCTCAAAATTTTCAAGTTGTCTCGCGGACTGAAATGTACTGTTTTCAGTCGGAACTCTTGAACAGTTCAACGTACTCTCGCTGATATTTAAGTTAGTCCTGTTATTCAATTCAATTCAATTCACATGTATTGTTTTATCTGCTAAATCTAATAAAACAGTTAAAGTCGGTATGAAAACTTTTCAAAACATTCAACTACAAATTTGACTTTTCATAAAAAGAAACAACTCGTATTTGACTTTTCATAAAAAGAAACAACTCGTAACTTAAAGGGGAACTCCAGCCCCAATACAAGTTGGGCTTAAATAAAAGATCTTATGTTTATCAGAAAGTTCCCAAATTATCTCGGTCCAACTATGTAAGGATAAGGTCAGGAGAAATTGCTTGCCAAAGTTCAAGACTTTTTCAAATTTGGCCGCCATTTTGGTATTTTCCATGCAGACGCGGATTTGTCAGGGTGATCGCTAGATAGTATACTTCAAAATAAGGTTTCCATTTTTATAACGTAGAAAAAACTATCCTAACGCAAAGCTAAACCCTAACCCTAATACAAACCCTCACCCTAACCCTAACCTAACCCTAACCTAAACCCTAACCTAACCCTAACTTATTTTAATTATTTTAAAAATTGATATAAAAACGGAAATCTTATTTTGAAGTATACTATCTAGCAATTGCCGATTTGTCAGCGCCCTCACTTTCAAACGTCATTTTGCTTGCTTCTGAGGTGTTTTTGATAGCGCAAGCTATAGTTTTGTATGGCGATATTAATATAAACGTTGACTATTTTTCGTTTTCAAACCATTCTTATTCGTCATTCAAAACAACTTTTGTAGGGCGAGTTACTTATTACATTATGCTTAATAATTACTAACCGGCTATATTTGAATTCGCAGGTTCAACGATTTCATTGAATTCAAGTAAATTAAAGCGATACAGTATACCAATCAACAGTATCCAGTACAATGAGCTGCAGATTACCGATATTCGACCAACATGCTACGGCTTTGCTTGCGTTTGATGCTAGCAACCATGCCATAATTTACCCACTGTCAAAAACCCAGTAATGCAGCATCATCACTTCATCTGCGACTATTTTGCAAGCAATCTCGATTCAAAACCTATATGAGTAATATAACCTATGGCTATGCGCAAAATACTCACACGCCAATAATTCAGTAAAATTTTACTTACATGTACAGTAGTTAGATTTAATGTAATTTGTTACAGAAAACAATGAGTAGAACTGTAACTAATGCGTTAAGTACAAATTGACTATAAACTTGTGAGCTGTATTACCCCTTTACACGAGCCCGGGTTGACTATCAACCGGGGTTTGTTTTTTCATATCTGGAAATCTTAAAGCTCCAGATTGTTAATATAACTATATAGCAAACAACCTAAGGTTTCAATCAATGTGCATGGATTAATAGTTTTTTCGTTTGCTTGCTGTTAGGCCAATTTAATACGCCGATGGTGGTTGAACTCAATGCCGCTAGAATTAAGGCAAACACACGATTAAACACAAACAAAATATTATACGCACGCATGTTCAGGGCACGTTATACAAATACCAGCAGTCATGATGAGATAGTGGAGAGTTTATAGTCTACTGTCCCCACCGATATATCTGTATTGAGAACATTAAATTCACGTTCAAATCCTATGATGTATGCGTTCGTATACTTAATACTTTCTTGTCTCTATACTGCATGCACAATGTACTTTAAAAGGCCATGTCTGAAAAGCCAGCAAATCCAAGTTGATAAACAGCAAATTAAAACGATATGGTAGTCAAAAGTATCTAGGAAAATCACCTGCAAATCTTTGAAATACATGCTGATGTATCACGCTATATCCTATATGGCTTTGTACGCGTTCGTTGCCAAAATGCGGTAAATGCCAGCAAGGTTCCATGATCTGGCTCGTACAACGATTTATCCACTGTCAGAGACTCAGTAATGTTAAAAATGAAATCTCCTGACTTGGATGATGATAAATAGCTCTATAAAATTTGTTTTGACGAATACGAATGATTTGAAAACGAAAAATAGTCAACATTCATGTTAATATCGCCATACAAAACTATAGCTGGCGCTATCAAAAACACCTCAAAAGCACGAAATGACGTCAAAAAGTGAGGGCGTTGACAAATCCGCGTCTGCATGGAAAATACCAAAATGGCGGCCAAATTTGAAAAAAAGTTGAACTTTGGCAAGCAATTTCTCGTTATCCTTAAATATTAGGATCGAGACAATTTGGGAACTTTATAATAAACATACGATCTTTTATTTAAACCCAACTTGTTTTGGGAGTGGAGTTCCCCTTTAAAAACGAAAACAAATTTAATTAAGGAAACGCTGGGTTAATACAATGCGTAATAGTGTCCTTAGTATCAGTTTTTCAACATCAATCTTTTATTTTCGTGTCAAACGATTCAGAAATATCTGTTTCCTACATGTAAACCAAAAAGTTGAATTAAAAATTACTAAACAAAAGGACTAGGCAGCGTTTCGTGTTGTTGTTCACGCAGTTTATTTTATACGCATGCGCAGATAGTGATCTAGTCGAATGGAAATTTTGGCGCATTAGGAACATTAACTCGATGTCAGGGCTGTTTTTCTCAAGTTTCCTTGTGTGATTTTTTTTTAACTTTTCCACATTTGCTCAGCAGGACAAGTAGTAAAACATGTCGAAATTTTAAGTAATTCTACGGATAGGTTTTTTCTGCATTTGTTACTCATGAATATCTCAAAAACGTATTTTAAAAACTCCCTTCAAGTTTTGATACATATTACTCTTTATGGGCTATAAATACATCTTCAAACAAAATTTCAGAAAAATTCACCAAATAAAAAAATACATATATTTTGTCGAATCATTCTGAAATTAGACAATAAAAGTGCGGAAGATAAAACGACATAGTTACCATGGCAACACTAACACTGTTTTTATTTGTTCATATGAATTTAGTGGCGCAATTGACCACTTGCGTAATAGACAAAAATTTGATCTCAACTAGCCTCAACAAAAATTTCATCACAGCTTGAAAGAGCATCACAAAATTAGTAATATTCCAAAGTTTCGTTGCGAAATGTTGTAAAATGCGGATAATATAGCCATGCGAAGTTTGCCGTTTTTCAGTCATTTTGTATTACGCACGGGAAATTGACAGCCCAATCGGGGCGCCAATTTCCCGTTTGTAATACAAAATGACTGAAAATTGCAAATTTCGCAAGGCTATATTATCCGCCTTTTACAACATTTTGCAACGAATCGTTGGAATATTACCAATTTTGTTGATGCTCTTACAAGCTGTAATGATATTTTTGTCTAGACTTGTTGAGATCAAAATTTTGTCTATTACGCAAGTTCATGGTCAATTGCAAATCTCATAGTATAGATTTCATATTTTCCCCCAGTGACCTATTAGTCCCTTAAACTCAGAAAATTGCCTTTACAGCAAGTATGTTTTCTGCCGTGAGTGTTCTATATATGTCAGTCTTATGTATTCTTGCAAAGCCAAATAACAAAATTTATTCAAGGTTCAAGTTTTTGGAAGCCAGGACAACCTTAATTGAATTAGCTGTATGCAGTAAACTATAAGAATAAAACTAATTATTTTGCTGAAAGTGCAGGTATCGTAATATGTAAGTATATACCAATTTTTATAGTTAAATATACCAACCGTTTAGTATCATCAAATCTTTTGTTCTATAATATATCCCCATGGGGCCATAAATTCCAAGTGAGACGTCATACAGTAAAATGTCCGGTACTCGTTCCCAGGCTGTTCCACTTGGAGCTTGGTCGTTCATCCCCAGTCTCTTGTAAGGATGCAAGTTACTTGTGATTGCCCAGAGTTCATAAATTGGTCCTGCTTCTATTCTCACGAATGTTTCGTATTCAGGATTTCCTACCTCGACCCAATCCTGTGAAAATATAAGACAAAAGTCCTCAATATTCGCCCGCTTTATTTGAGAACTTCTAGTTTTTATCAGTCGTAAGGATTGCACAGACGGGAAATTTTTCTTTGGTAAGGTTTCCAAAACAAATTTTCCTTGGCAAGTTTTCCTGCAAATTTTTTTCTTCGCAAGTTTTATTTGCTTGTAATTTTTTCTCCCCAAAGAGCATTGTGCAAAAGCTAGTCATGCTTTGGACAAGAAAAGGTGTTCGTGTGTACGTCCGCAAAGAAAAATCTTGCAAGTGTACATGAAATACATGTATGGTTTTGCGAGATGAAAGCCAGCTTTGACGTAATATCGGTTCAACAGTAGTCCGTGCACACGAGCAACAAAAATGCCGACGAAATTTGTCGAGTTATCCAAAACCTGTGTTAAAAGCGGCTTTCTGATTGGTTTAGAGCAGGTGAGCTTGTCGTCGAGCTCACCTGCTTCTTGCCGAACTCACCTGCTTTTCGCCCGAACTCACCCGCTAAACTGCTTACGTTGCAATAACAATAACGAATATGGCGGACAAGATTTAGCCGATAAACCTAAACTTTAAAGAACTTTTTTCGGTGACTAACATACTGAGACTGAAGAAAAACCAAAGAAAAAATGCAGTAAAGGTAATGTAGACGTAGATAAAGAAATATTTTCTTGCCCAGTGATTTTTTTGGCCGGGAAAATGTTCACAGAACATCGACGAATATATCGCGAAGAACTACAAATGTGTGTATGGCTCGGTGTATGGGATAAAAACCAAACTCGGGTGGCTGGAAGTTTCCCGAACTCACCTCGCTTCGCTCGGTAAGTTCGGGAAACTTCCAGCCACCCTCGGTGCGTCCAATCCCGGACTCACCTCCCTGCAAGTACGTTTGTTATAGAACACTTGTGGACCATACACACGAGAAGGTAATTGAACTTGTCAAGGAAACTTGTTTGGTTCTGCGGACCTTTATAATTTGAACAGATAATGCTGTTGAATGATGTTCGCCTGAGCCGCAAGGCAATGCAATCTGAAGAACGTAACGTTCAGGACGATAGGGATCAAGAATTGATCATTTTGAACTGTTTTCTATTATCGAGATGCAAAACCTGTATCCAAACCTCGTGGTTTGAAACTTTATTGCGCAACAGACTTTCGTTCTTTTTGATGGAATTAAATCGCTGACTCGACTGAAATTAAAAATAGAACGAAATTTGTTTTATGAAAGAAGATCCAACGCTCCGGAACCTTTCTCCTCCGCAGAGGCTTTTAAAGAATATGTATAATTCGAAGGAATTGAAATTGCGCTAGAAGGTATCTGGTATGAAGACAACCGCTGAAAATCGGTGCGCGGGCGAGGGGAAGGGAAGGAAGAAGTAACGGAAGCCTCTGCCCGATTTATGTCCCAATATGGCGTTAAATCAGGGGGAGGAGAGACTGTGCAAATTCTCGAGCAGTTGGACAAAATGACTCAGTTGCGTATGAATTATTCATGTCCACGAAGGCAATTTATTTTGGCTTTGTGGAGCAGGAAAACGTGTTGTGTTGTCTGTGGTTCACAAACAACAGATATATTTAGTCAAGTAGGCCTTCAACAACATTACCGAATTAGACACAGAGGCACAGAATTCGATGATAATAGTTACAATTTTTTTCGGCTTTATACTTTAAATTGCTGATGTATTTTACAATGAATGTGTGTTTTAATATAGAATTTTGAAAATTACAATATTTTTTATGTTGAAGGCGATGGTTAGAGCACAGTGTTGTGTTGTTCAAACGAGAAAGAGACAGCAAAGTTGTTTGGGTTATATTTAGACCATAAAATTTCCTTGCCAATTATTATTTTCATTCATTCAATCTCATAAACACATTATTATACCAAAATATATACGTTGGCCAACAGATCATTATCCAAAATGTCTTCACATTATGAAATAGAATTTAAAACAGAAAGGATTGTTGAGATAATATACGGATGCTACAGATATCGCCAATTTGTCAAAGATATCGACACAAATCGGGCAGAGGCTTCCGCTATTTTTCCCTTTCCCTCGCCCGCGCACAGATTTTCAGCGGTTGTCTTCATACCAGATACCTTCTACCACAATTTCAATTCCTTCGAATTTCATATTCTTTATTAAAAGCCTCGGCGGAGGAGAGAGCTCCGGAACACTTAACCTCACTACGGCGATTCCTTTTATTGGCCAAGAACATAGCGGCCCCTGACTCGTCCTCAGTCGTCTCTGTGTCTTAAGTGCGGGCGGAAGCAGGAAAAGTAGCAAGGGCATACAGGCGGTGAGCCACACGCTAGCAGTGCTGGGAAGGGGGAAATTTGTCTCGTCTTTCCCCTCTCCCGCTGCGCCGCTTCCATCTTTCTTGCTTCGATCCGCCATCTTTTCTGCTTCTCCCGCGTTTGAAAGAGAGTATTCCGCCCGCGCTTTAAACAGAGTAACATGGAAACGACTGGGCGCGAGTCACTAGCGGCTATTACGCCGACGCAATTTTTTTTTCCATAGACAGTCGGACTCCTCATTGATAGTCGGACGCATCATTGATCCACGTCCAGGCGTTCGCGAGTTATCGATGGACCCTTGTAAGCCACTGGTGCACCATATATCCATCACTCCACGTTGTTCTTCTTCGGCTACGTGTAGAGAGATGAACGATTTGCTTCGCGATGCCATAGTAAATCTACAAACTTGTTTTTCTGGTTCCGAAAATACTCAAGAACTGTTATTGCGACGTTAAATCTATATATCATCCCAATTGAAGGGAATCAGTATAAGATAACTAGTCTAGCGTGCCAGGAAATACTGGAAGATTCAAAGCGAACATCAAGACCACATTCCACAAATAGAAGTATTGCAGAATACCCGTCCACTAGCTACTAATATCATTTCATGCAGCCCGGCCACTATTTCACTGGATAGTGGATACGTAAATACCAGTTCTTATTGCCTCGCTCTAATATACACAAACTAATTACTAAGACAATGTTACGAATTGATACTAGAAAATACATGCATGCAGAAACCCTCGCCTTGCTGGCAAAACCATTGTATTTTCCGAACATGAAGTATCTAAAGTAGTTTCATGGTAACACGATAATTTTTTAAGAATATTCGTACAAATGAAAAATCGCCTAAAAAATATCACTTTTAATTACAAAATTATTAATTTCCCAACGTATATATGTTAGGTATGTTATTATACGTAATATAAGCAAAAGGTAAAATTCAACCACAAACGCTTCGCAAAACGTTTTAAAGTACTCTTTAACTAAACTGCCTTTAATAGCTGTTATCGTAATTGAACACGTCTATGCTACGGACCAGCGGTATCTGCATTATTTTAACATCGAAACGAGGCAATAGGGTCATGTTTTGTGTTTTTTTACCCTTTAGCCTCGTTTTCGTGCGTACTTCCACTGAGATACCGCTGGTATGCCGCAGCGGCGTATTCAATTACGATAACAGCTATTAAAAGGCTTTATCGATAAGCTTTGAGTTTGCAATAAAATAATTTTAAATTCTCGCTTGCAAATAACTTTGCTTTCTTTTTTATTTAAAAAATTCAATATCATAAAAAAGGGAATCAATATTATTAAAGATACACTGAAATTATATGCTGTCTTGTTTAGTTGTTTCATATACGCAGGTCGGTTTAGTTGTTTCATATAAGGCCGTCGGGTTTAAATTAAAGCCAATTATACTATGAAAATCAATATTTAAAACAAACTTACCTTCGTGAACGTCGGCTGCCCTCTTTTAGCCGATTCTTTCGCCCTTTCTTTCTTGAAATTTACAAAATCTTGCAAAAATGCGAGCAAAAATGAAATATATTTGCAAGAAATTTATCAATCATCAAATCAAGAAATGTTTGCTATTTCGCTGTCGTCATGCAGTCGTTATAATGCAAACTTTAAATTGGACCAATCAGTGTTCGCTATTCATGACAGTCCGCCACATATTTTGAGATCAGTGAGGATGACCACCCACCGAAACATCGTTGGTGAGCCACGCCCGCGATGTTTGATGAACTTTAGACTTCGCTAATGCTTTCGTTTCCCCGGGTGTAAATAGCCGGGGGGGATTAGTACCCTCGCACGGCGCTTCGCGCCGTCGGCTCGGGGACTATAAAGAAAATATCATGCAAGACTTTTAATGTTTAATAATTATCATGCTTAGCATGCTTTATAGTATAATTTTTTTCCAGACAGGCGTCTGTATGGTCTACATTCCCTCAACTCTCATTCCTGAGTCAACGGCGCACAGCGGCGTTCCGGGCGTAAGCCTGGGGTGAGGGTATTAATTCCGCCCGGTTATTTACACCCGGAGAAAGAAACGCACTAGCGACGACTAAAGATTATCAAATATCGCTGGCGCATGTTGTATGTATGGTCATCTCACTGATCTCAAAATATGGCTGTTTGCCAGGAGTGAAGAAGGGGAAATATAAAAAATACATGTAAGAAAGCATGGAAAATCGTTTCACATAACAAATTGTAATACTTTTTTTCAATTTTTAATTAAACGTAAACATTTATAAGAATTGATTTAGTGCGAGAAATACTAAGGTATAGCTTATATAGTGCGAGTTTGTTTCAATTATTTATGTATGACTTTGTATTAGTATAGACTTTGTTCTTGTTGTTCAAGTATTTCCTATACATTGTATGCGAAAGTTTCTCAGTTAATTAAATTATTTTCATTAGCGTCCTGTATGAATTAAATTTATTTCATTTCAAACTTTGAACAAAGTTTAAAGTTGAAGCTCAAGTTGAAGGGTTTAATATCGGCTAAAAGCAGTTAATTTCAAATTACATTTAAAAACGTTTTACATAGTTAAAAAAACATACTTGCAGGGAGGTGAGTCCGGGATTGGACGCACCGAGGGTGGCTGGAATTTTCCCGAACTCACCGAGCGAAATTTTTATCCCATACACCGAGTCATACGACGATACGTGCACATTATAGCTCTTTGTGATGTATTCGTCGATGTTTTGTCTTGTTACGTTCGTCGATGTTTTGTCTTATTTGCTCATAATACTTCTTTATCTACGTCTAGATTACCTTTATGCATTTTTTCTTTGGTTTTCAGTCTCGGTCATTGAACTGTAATAAACTGGAAGGCTAACTCCTATCCTATGATGAAGGGCATATGCTAGATAGTATACCTAAAAATAAAGTTTCCGTTTTTATATCAATTTTTAAAATAAGTGAGGGTTAGGTTAGGGTTATTATCTCATACCCAGTGTATTAGCGGATTTCCTACTGGCTACGAGGAGGTGCGTTCAATCTCGAACCCACCTGCTGACGTATGTTTAGGAGGGGGTTCGAGATCGATGTGTTGCTGGCGACCATTTTAATATGGCGCGATTTCAACAAATTTCTGACGAAGATTTGAAAATAAGACAAGAGAACCTTAAAAACAACAATACAACTAAAAATGAAAAAAAACAGAAGGCATATATTCAAAGAATATCAAATTGGAGAGGAAGACAACTTCTACGAATTCAGTGAAGAAAAGCTCGACAAGCGCCTTACAAATTCTGGTTCGTTGCAAGGACTAGAGATGGACACAAATATAAAGTAGGAAGCCTTAAAACAATTCGCAACAGTCTAAACAGAGCGCTGAAAAGTTTCGGGCATAAATTTGACATTACAAAGACAAAATGTACAGCTTTCACCTCGAGTATTAAAGCATACGATGACGCGACCAAAGAGCCAAAGCAGGAAGGAAAGGATTTCACGAAGAACCATGAAGCTATTGACACAGCAGGTAAAAATAAGTAATTGTAACCCGTCATGGTGTCCGTCATACTAAATTAATTTAATACCACATTTTGTTGTTTGATATATACCATAGTCGACACTTAGATTCAGACATTGGACCAAGATAGCTCCAGAAGAAAGTCCAGTTTGACATCACTAGATACTATTTTGGTTAAAAGGTTACACCAACCATAGCCTACGAGCTTCTGAAATAACAACATTGAAGCGTAACAACTACATGCAACGACAAGCAAATAATGTCCATAACTGGCCATCGAAGTAGTGCAAGTTTGGCTATCTAACAAAAAGTGGCTTCAGATGAAAATCTCCGAATGGGATGCACACTTGGTTATGCCCTCACAGGTGATTCAAGCTGTCTAACCAAACAAGATGAAATTTCCAGTGTTTACCAACAACATCCTCGAGAAACCAATTACCAACCTTCTTCACGCACTCCAAACCCCTCATTGCAAGAGATCGATGTAATTTCCAGATCTGAACGCGGTGGTCACTATCCAAGCGACAAAACCCCTGTCAAGAAAACACATTACAGACAAAACGTCAACCTAACCGAGTTCTTCAACTATTGTACCCCCTCGACAAGCCTTGACTTCTTCTGATCCAATATTCTTTGAAGATAACATAGACGCCCAAGATTTTTTGGTTACCGTAAGCTAGCTAATTTGAGAATAAAAAAACCTCAGAAAATTCGTACTTGGTACAAATGTCATCCCAAACCACATCCAGAAACAACAACAACCAGTTCTTGAGCAAACAAGCGATGAAAAAACCTTCCCATCGACCCCAACCTTTTCTAATTGTAAAACTGACGGTGGCATTACAATAAACAATTACAAAAGCTAAAAAAAAACATTTTTTTATTTTGTTGAACACTTGTCGAATTGATGACGTTTTAAAACTTGATGTTAATTGTTACTGTATATCTTGTTGTTACCACAATTTGAAGTTAAGTATTTATGTGCACACTTTTTTGTCACTATTGAAACAACTTTATTCAAAGAACTTGTAAATTTAATCAAATATTTATTATAATTGTTGAAGATTATATTATTGATTAATCTATTGATCATAAAACTGTAATTGCATGTTTTTAATATTGAAATGAATTTAATATTTAAAAAATAATATATTGTTATTTTTTATTTTGTTTGATGAAAATGGAATATTCTGTATTCAAAGTGGAAGAGAATAAAGATGGCCGCCGAAATTTTTCGGCAAGGGCAGGTTTATACAAATGTTGGCAATGTTTTCGCAGAATGTATTCATTATCTCTTTTCAAGAACAAGGGCATATTGTAGAGAATTTTTTTAACTTCAATTTAAGCATAAGTTTGTTTGTTTGCATAGTTTGTTGGCGGCTAAAATGTTCGTTATCCAAACAAGAAATTATATACTAAAATGCGTCAATTCAGTACTTTTTACCGAAATGGCGGCATGTGATAAGAAAACAAACATACTTGCAGGTTCGGTGAGTCTGGGACTGGACGCACCTCGGGTGACTGGAAACTTCCAGCCACCCTCGGTGCGTCCAGTCCCGGACACACCGAACCTGCAAGTATGTTTGTTATACATATAGTATTAGGGTTGGGGTTTAGTTTTGCGTTAAGATTTATATTATAATGTTATAATGTTATATTATATGTTATAAAAACGGAAACCTTATTTTAAAGTATACTTTCTAGCAATCACGTATGATGAAGGTATATGATTCCGCGTTGAAGCCGACTATAAATATAATGTACTATAAAACATTTTGACCGCAGTCCCAAAACTTAGTTTGTACTAAACCCCAGGTATTGTTACTTATCCTCAGCTTTTAGTCCTTGTTTTATTGCTTCTAAAACATGAATAAATTGACTTTTTCAAGTGACATTATTTTCGTCATCGCGTCTTTGTTGGGCATTTAAGAGCACTTTGAATATGACAGCCAAGCTAGCTTTGATAATGCTTATTTTAACTAGGGGTGCACCGGATTTGGAATTTTCAAATCCGGCCGAAACCGGATTTGGACAAAAATTCCGGCCGGAATTCCGGCCGGATTTGCCGGATTTGAGATAAACCGGTAATGGGGACAACTGGGGATAAATCAGTATTCAAAATGATGGTTTATGTTTTTTACTATTTTTAGTTAGTGTCAGTTTAGATTTTTGATTGTGTTTAAACCTTTTTTAAACATCTTTTTCATAATAACTTAATATTTTATAATAATATAAGTGTTTTTTTAAACTTTAAAGCTGCCAAATTGATGGTTTATCCCATTGTTGGTCAATTTTTTAAGGTGAAAACAGAAATTTAAATCCGGAAGCCGGAAAATTCATTAAATCCGGCCGGAATTCCGGCCGGATTTGAAATCCGGTGTACCCCTAATTTTAACTGTTAAAAGTATAAGTCGTGGGTACTTGAAATTAAATTTGCACATGTATCCAATATTTTTCAACATAATTTGTATCATAAAATCTCTTAACTCAGAAAAATCAAACATTTTCGCGTGGTTTTTTGACAAATTTTGTTTTAACCCTGTAATATTTTAGCAGTTGAACGATGTTTGTTTATTGTAAATACGGTAAGTAAAAAAGGTTAAATGTCTTAGTATGCTTTAAAAGTATAAAAGGAAATTAAAGGGTAAAATTTATCGATATAAAGTTAGCCTTCGAGTTAGCCTTCCAGTTTACTTATAGTTCAATAATCTCAGTAGGTTAGTCACCGAAAAAAGTTCAATCTTTAAAGTTTAGGTTTATCGGCTAAATCCACTGGCTAAATCTTGTCCGCCATTGTTATTGTTATTGCAACGTAAGCAGTTTCGCGGGTGAGCTGGACGAAAGGCAGGAGAGTTCGAGCAAAAAGCAGGTGAGCTCGACAACAAGCTCACCTGCTCTAAACTAATCAGAAAGCTGCTTTTAACACAGGTATGGGATAGTACGTAGAGTTTAGTTTTGAATTTTACATTAAAATAAAGACCATAGAAACCAAAATAATATACCTACTTTATATATTTTAAAAATTGATAGTTCTGTATTGAAAAGTGTTCAACTTTCATCTATTTTTTGAAGGTATGTACAAAAAATTTATGTAATCTATCGTGTTGACATGACTATAACATGACGTGGAACAACGCGAGCCTGCGTTCAGTGTTGGCGTAATAACGAATACTTCATGTTGAAGCAATGTTTGGAGAATAATAGGCGAGGGGTTGTTGCATGCATGTATTTCTAGTTATTTATCATACCTGTCCAAGGGGATCAGAATCCGTTATGCCTTGTCTAAAATGAAGTATACCACCAATGATTGCAAAGCATCCAGTTACGCCACAGGACAAATGTTGAATAGTTTCAGACGATACCTGACATGACCAATCCTCGCCTATTGGATTATTCTCTGTAATTCCTAGCCTAACACAAAATGTTTCGTTTGTTTTGACAACGAACCCTTTTCGTGGCACCGAGAAGTCAAGAAATTTATAACCATTACCAACTTTTGTCCAGGGAACATGGTCACTACCAAACGCTAAGTATTCCTGTTCTAGAATGAAAAAAGTTCATTGTACAAACTCTGCATTGACCTTAGGCCTACAAGCGTACTATCTCACCGCTTGGCAACAACATGTCAACAACGAGGTAAGCAACTTGACCAACGTAACACATGCAATGCAACGTAATGTCCAAGTTGACCGACGTAATTGTGAATATTTACAACAAACATGGGAACCGCGCTTTAAAAAGTTACCTGACTTTAAATTGATTAATTTGTTCTAATTCAGAGAATCTTTTGTATATATGACATAACACGCGCGTAAAACTAATGACTACTGTAGACTACATCTTTCCCCGTTTGATGAACTTCTGTATTCGATTTGCAAACATCGATTAAACAATCATTTCTTTTGTATTTTCCTCATAAATTATTAATGAGTTTTTTAATTGACAATAATTAACTATTATTTTCTGTTTTTCAATCGCCAGATGCATTTAAAAATGTTGCTAACTGTTTAATTAAACTACAAAATAAAGCAAAACAAAGTAATTTTGAGAGGAACGCCGAAACGATTTTTGTTTTTGAACACTTTTCATCGCAAATACACAAAATTAAAAAAAATTGCCTCTTAATTTGCTCTAATTAGTTAATTCCTTCTAATGATTTTTTTGTATTATTTGAAATTCTGGAAATACAATACGTACGATAACTGTAAGGAATTACCATATTTTTTTTACATATATCAAAGCGAACATAAACCAACGAATTCCCCAAAACATATATTTCATTAACTATGGAGAAACCTACCTACGACATACAATCGAAATGAAGAAGTTATTCCCCATACAGCATGTGGTGCTACGGATAATATATTTAGTACTCCATTCAAGTTCTGTTCCTTTCCTGTGCTATCCAGCATGAACATATTAGGAATAGAATTTCTCTTTGCAAACATTATCAAAGGACTCAGTCCACTGCTAACATCAAGTGCACGGTGTAATGTCAGTTTCCACCATTTACGAGTTTCTAGAAAAAAGGTAACAAATAGCGTTAGATGACGTCATACTAGGGCACGTGATCTATAAACGTGTTTAATACAGAACATTGTTTCATAGCCAAATTTCCTGAACGTGGGCAAAATCAGGAAGCAATTTTCTTAGCCATGTTTCCTGCAGGTGAGCTGTGGACAAACCAAGGAAACACTGATTCTGCTGTTTCAAATCTAGGCCGTATTCTGTGGCACGAAAAGTCGCTTAGAAAACGAAAACCGTTGCCCGGGTTCGGGCACTACTTTGAAACAAGACAAATAATTAGATTAATTATACAAAGTCCAAATCCGTTTGTTTGCACTTCCCAAAACCTGCAGTTTTCGAGTATTTCTTCTTCGAAAATTGAAGAAATCGACATTTTTCAAAATCGATCGCCGCCATTTTTGTTCAGGATACTTGGTGTCATAAACACTATAAATGGCAATTTTCGCGGGCTCATGCTCATTTTTACATGAAGTTTCCAGCTTAGCATTTGTAAATATACCCTGGTTGCCAGAGGTTCTGTATCTTTCGCCTTATTCCCGCTCGTATTTATTTTACGCGAGGCGAAGAGAATCTCTGGTGGCACGCGATACAAATCTCTCTTCCATGCTGACGTTGCCGTTTGAGAACTTGCAAAACCGGTTTTATATTTTGTGACGTTTTTAAACTTCCGGGTTTGTCATACTACCAAAATAGCTCTCTTCAGAACTGTTTGGCAGCCTTGTGTAAAATTATTTAAAATAAACAGCCCAAACATGTGGATTATTCATTAGAAACATGTAGATTATTCTGAGATATACTATTGCTCGAGTCAGGATTCGAGCCAGGACTCGAGCCAGGACTCGAGTCAGGACTCGAGTCAGGACTCGATAAAAAAATACGAAAATACGGGGAATTGCCATTACCCAATGGTTTTGTTTTATAAGACACGTTACGCAGGCTAGGTAAATGTTCTACTACTAGCAAATTAAATACAACCTTTCAATAATTACGCTAATCACCTTGTGTAATTTACCAATGAGAGCGATGTTCCAAGACTAAAAAGTATGTGTAATTATCGAAAGGGTGTATTTGGTAATACAGTTAGCCAGCGTGGCCGGCTCTTCTATAATACAGTTTGGTGATATTGGCGTCTATTACAGGAAAATAAGGCAGGGAGAATTATCCTACTCTTTGACGAATGCTAAGCGGCAATGAGCGGCAACAAGTATCTGTTTTGTAAAGAGCGAGAGACTGTTAGTGATGGGCAATACCAACTGTTTTAGTTCGATAAAATACTGGCCAGATATTTCCTTTTTTTGGATATCGATATTTGTGCAATATATCAAAAACAAACAACAACAATGGTATTGACTATTGTTTCATTCACTGTCTTCCGACGCTAATAACCGTTACAGTTAGGAACCGATTACATGGAGCATTCTCAACCCCGGGGTTGAACTCAGCCCTGTTTACCGTGTTGAAATTTCAGCCCAGTCTGTAATACAAAACTCTATCAAAATCAAACGCGCGATTTAAAAATCATGACAAAATTTTCAACCCAGGGCTGAGTTCAACCCCGGGGTTGAAATTTCAACCCTGCTTCAACCCCGGGGTTGAACTCAGCCCTGGGTTGAAAATTTTGTGGTGTAATCGTTTCAACCCAGGGCTGAAATTATAATGAGTTATTCGAGCATGCGTGGTAGTGACTATTTATTACAAGAAAACAAAATAAAGGCTTTTTTACTTCCGCGAATCGATGCCGAGAACGTATAGTATAACGTTTTAACCCCGGGGTTGAAATCGTCCATGTAATCGCAAAAAATTTCAACCCGGTTAACATGGCTGAGTTCAACCCCAGGGTTGAAAATGCTCCATGTAATCGGCCCCTTTAATAGCCAAAGTCAGATGAGATTGACAGCTCTGTATGTACACATATACCAAATATACACTATCGTTCTTTAGTTCTTTTATCGACTCTGGTGGAAAAAGGGGGGAAATTGATTTGGTAAACAAGTTCTCTCCCATTTGCGAAACATCACTTAGGTTATCGATAAACAATTCCTCAGATTCAGTTAAATTTCCTTAAACATTTCGCATTGTTGGTGAACGAATAGTCTAAATTTAAGGAAAGTTCCTTAAAAGTGAGAACACTGTTGGTAAATTTTCATCCATCAAAATCACCTGACGTCATTTTTGGCTCGAGTCCTGAATCGAGTCCTGGCTCGAGTCCTAGCTCAAGTACTGGCTCGAGTCCTGGCTCTTATCCCATACCTGTGTTAAAAGCGGCTTTCTGATTGGTTTAGAGCAGGTGAGCTTGTCGTCGAGCTCACCTGCTTTTTGCCGAACTCACCTGCTTTTCGCCCGAACTCACCCGCTAAACTGCTTACGTTGCAATAACAATAACAAATATGGCGGACAAGATTTAGCCGATAAACCTAAACTTTAAAGAACTTTTTCGGTGACTAACATACTGAGACTGAAGAAAAACCAAAGAAAAAATGCAGTAAAGGTAATGTAGACGTAGCTAAAGAAGTATTTTCTTGCCCAGTGATTTTTTTGGCCGGGAAAACGTTCACAAAACATCGACGAATATATCGCGAAGAGCTACAAATGTGTGTATGGCTCGGTGTATGGGATAAAAACCAAACGTACTTGCAGGTTCGGTGAGTCCGGGATTGGACGCACCTCGGGTGGCTGGAAGTTTCCCGAACTCACCACCCTCGGTGCGTCCAATCCCGGACTCACCTCCCTGCAAGTACGTTTGTTATAGAGTCCTGACTCGATATTTAGGTACCCTCCTCTTCGCCTCGCGTAAAATAAATACGAGCGGGAATAAGGCGAAAGGTACAGAACCTCTGGCAACCAGGGTATTGTAAACATGGCGTCTTCTTATTCATGTTTAATTCATTTTGATGGGAAAAAAGGCCCACTTACAAATTTTAGTGTGGTTTCGTATATAAAAATTTTTTAGATTGTAGTAGAATTTGGCTAACGCTAGACGGGGAAGAACGCAATGTTGCTCAAAGAAGTTTGCAGTTTGTTAGCGACAGCATGGAAGTAGCACGGTCGAAAATATCGATGCAAATTTTTTTATAGAATTAGTTGTTACTCGGCATTCACAAACAGAAGCATGATCAACCGAGCTCAACAGCGTTGTCAGAATATGGACAAAGAAGGTGTACCTTCATCCTCTGGTATCGATATTATTGATGGAGAAACGGAGTCGGATGAAACTCCACCTGTAAAGAAAATGCTGGGATCTACACACGTAAAAATCTCAACTTGTCAACAAGATGTGTTTGCAACAAACATGTAGCAAGTTTGTCAATAAGTTGTAAAAATTCTGTTATTTTATCAAGTTGCTACAGGCTTGTCACTCACAACTTGTTGACAAATTGCTGAATTGCTGTTGGAACAACTTGTAACAAGTCTGTTGAATTCGACAACCTTGTAGCAAGTTATCAACAAGCCGTTGACAACTTGTCAACAAGCTTGGAACAAGCAGTGCGAACACATCCTGTTGACAAGTTGTTGGAGCAGCATTGCTACAAATCTGCTGCAGGTTTGTTACAACTTGTGCATTTTTACATGTGTACGCTGAGTTCGCCTACACATGTAAAAACGCACAGCTTGTAACAAGCCTGCAAACAAGTTGTTACAAGTCTGTTCACAAGCTGTCAACAAGTTGTCCTCACACTGCTTGTTCCCAGTTTGTTGTAACAAGTTTGAAACAACAAGCTGTTAACAATTTGTAACAAGCTTGATGGCATTATCAGCCTTGTTACAAGACTGCCAACAAGTTTGTTACAACCATGATATAGCAAGGATGTTACAAGGTTGTCAACACAAGGTTGTAACAATCTCGTTATATCAAGCATGTAACAGACTTGTCAGAACAACCTTGCAACAAAATTGTCGTTACAAATTGTCAACAAGTTGTTCAAAACCTGTTAACAACTTGTGACAAGCAGTGCGAATACATCTTGTTGACAGCTTGTTGGCAGACTTGTTACAAGATGTGAGGATTTTATGTGTGTACAAGTGCAGCGCTCAGCTCAATCATGGAATCCCCACATGTTGCAATTTTGCAAATCAGAAAAGCCATATTTCACTGAGTCGGTTGGTAAACTGAAAGAAGCTGCAACATAGAAAGCTGGTGAAAGTATTTTGATTCAAATTGCTGATAATTAGGACCTAGCATTGAAAGTGAAATACCATAAACAATGTTATGAAAAGTGCATGTGTAAAAGGTTTCCACAACTTGTTTTCCATAGACCAAAGTTATGAAACAAGAGTGAAATTGTTTATACACAAGTGCAACATTGACAAAAATGTATACAGTTGGCCTAACATTGAGAAACAACTTGCATAATTGTACATCAGCTTGGTACAAGAACTGGCCACCACATGCATCAGATATTACTGGAGTAGTGTTGATAGTTGCCTGTGCAACAGCTAGCTGAATCATATGCCATTGTCGAAGATAGTGAATCGTAAATATCAGGCCAGAACAACAAAACATCTGCCGAACGGTCATTGCTAGTGCTAGCCGCTAGGGATTTGAGTATCTGCACTTTCCCCCTATTAGAATATAGACCAAATTTTGACACAGAGAAAAATCTTTGATGTAGTTTAGACAATGACATATACATCTAATTCAATGTAGTCAGCATCTTCTGGGTCATCTGAAAACCCAAGCATCCATGCCATAAAATTAAACAAGAGAGGTGATACTAATGTTTTCACCAGTAATATCTGATGCATGTAGTGGCCAGTTCTTGTACCAAGCAGATGTACAATGTTTTGCAACAGTCTTTGCAAGTTGTTTCTCAATGTTAGGCCAACTGTATATATTTACAATTTGAATCAAAATACTTTCTTCAGCTTTCTTTGTTGTAGTTTCTTTCAGTTAATACCACCATCTATTGTTTCTACAGCTACCATTTTGTCCAGCTTTCGCTTTTTCGACTTCTAAACAATAAAAAACCTATGCATGTTAGTATAGGTAATAGCATGGTTTCGAGTGCAATTTGGATATAACATGCACAAGTGAGTTTTTCGAAGACCTCAGAATAGCACGAGTCCGAACGACAAGTGATATTTGAGGTCTTTGAAAAACTCACGAGTGCATGTTTATCCAAATTTCACGAGAAACCATGCTATTACTTATTAATAATTTACATAAAAATGTTCGAGACAATTGTAGTTTTAACTTACGCGTTTATAGCGAACATTCCACTGGCAAAGTTTTCCTGGCTTTGTTTTATCACATTACACAATGCTAAAATTCCACTCAACTGTGTATTTTTTGCTAGTCTTGTTTAAGGTAAATGCTTTTCCATTTAAAAATAAAGATAAAAGCCATATTTTCCACGCAAAGGCAACTTTTACTTTGTGTAGCGCGGCGTCATGTTTGTTTTGTTTTGAAGCAATCTGTGACCGTTACTTCTTTAAAACTAAACTGCCTTAAACTGATTGGTTGATTTAATCATCACAATGTTTTTCCACCAATCAGATAAGTTTGTTACAGATTTTTGCACTGTGATTACAGAAAATTGCACTGTGATTACAAAAAATTGCCCTGTGATTACAGAAAATTACACTGTCATTACAGAAAATTGCACTGTGATTACAGAAAATTGCACTGCTGTTGGGATTAACTGCACTGAAATCAACCAATCACAGTCGAGTAATATCTTTATGTATAAAG